TTCGCTACGCTCACTCACCTTTAGGTTGGAGCTCGTTCGCTGCGCTCACTTGCCTTCAGATTAGCTCGTTCGCTACGCTCACTCACCTTTAGGTTGGAGCTCGTTCGCTGCGCTCACTTGCCTTCAGGTTAGCTCGTTCGCTACGCTCACTCACCTTAAGGTTGGAGCTCGTTCGCTACGCTCACTCACCTTTAGGTTGGAGCTCGTTCGCTGCGCTCACTTGCCTTCAGGTTAGCTCGTTCGCTACGCTCACTCACTTTTAGGTTGGAGCTCGTTCGCTGCACTCACTTGCTTTCACTTGGTTATTAAGACTTTAATATGCTTGAAATGCCATTTTATTTCCCGCATGCTAATTCTCTATTTGTTTAACATTGGGGATATTTTAAACCATGGGGGGGGGTGTTGAAATGAGAAAATAACAATTTTAATAATATTTAAGGTAATTTGAACCGAATACCAACACCGCTAAAAATTCCAATGTTCTATCGCTAATATGAGTGTGTAATTCCAAGGACACAACTATCGAAATGGGGTTTTTTGAGGGGGTTGGAGTATAGATAGGTGAAAGGCGCTATGGAACAAAATGTACACCATAAAATTTTGTATACAAAACATTTGTTTGTTTATATATAATCTTGCGTTTATATAATTTTTAATTGACGAGAATCTTCAAAATCGGTATTTTTTATTTTAACAAAAATTATCCCCCCAATTTTGAGGGTTAAGTATGGTGAGTGAAAATTCCGAAATCGGTTTAGGATAAACTTTAGGCATATTTAAAAACAAGTAATAGGTCAAACGTACCAAAAACGGATTTTAACCTACTCCAGGGCAGCCAACCCCCCAAAAAACAAGGAAAAATGGCAAAATTTCAAGTTTAAGCATGAATTTGGGGGTGAAGGAGTTAAGATGGAAAAAAATGTTAAATTACAAAGTTGTAGATCGTCAAAAGTTAGTACGTAAAGGTTCTCTCTGTTTCTTGACCAGACCAACGGTTGAGCCGCAACCGACGTTTAAACAAAAAAACATGATGAAAAATTCCAAAATTTTGTGTTTAGAGCGAAATATAGGGGGGAAGGGGTGGAGATAGAAAGAAACTTTATATTATGAAATTGTAGCTCGTTTAATTTTAAATACAGTAAGTGTGCTCCGTTTTTTGATTAAACCAACGGTTTAAGCACAATAAATGTTTTAAAAAAACGTCTTTTTCGCACTTTTCAAAAATCCGCCATTTTGAATTTTTTTAGGGGGGTTAAAATTTGAAAATGTGACTTTTGACAATTTTACTGGTGGTTTAAGACCGATACCTAAATTCGTGCCAAATTTCAACCCCGTAGCTATTCTAGAAGTGGGTAAGAATTTGTATACCTGATGAGTCAATGAGTGAGTCAGTTACACAAGGGGCTGTATATAATATAGACTCGCCTTGTGCTCGCTGGGGGCTCCGCCCCCAGGCCCCCTTTTTTGGTTGGGGGTCAGTAGGAATGTTCCTCGGGGGACAGAATTTTGTTTAGGAATATTTTCTGCGTTTTAATATAATGATTATTTTGCAGTTGCTAGGTAATTCTTAAAGAGTATGTTTAAGGGGGTGATTAAACAAGCCCAAAAATATTAAAGTCTCGATGTGTGTTTGGTGCTCTAATACAAACATTTTCTAAGGCATTTACTGTAAACCTATATTTAGCCACAATTATATAACGTCACAATACAAAGGGATTGAGGAGGTAACAATATTTACTCCGCCCCAGGCCCCCTTTTAATAGTAGCCGTGATAATTTCAGGTTTAAACACGAATTCGGGGTGGAGATGAGAAAAAAATTAAACTAAACGCATGGCTCAATCAAATCCTGGTTGAAGTTCGTTCGCTACGCTCACTCACCTTTAGGTTGGAGCTCGTTCGCTACGCTCACTTGCCTTCAGGTCAGCTCGTTCGCTACGCTCACTCACTTTAAGGTTGGAGCTCGTTGGCTGCGCTCACTTGCCTTCAGGTTAGCTCGTTCGCTACGCTCACTCACCTTTAGGTTGGAGCTCGTTCGCTGTGCTCACTTGCCTTCAGGTTAGCTCGTTCGCTACGCTCACTCACTTTTAGGTTGGAGCTCGTTCGCTACGCTCACTTGCCTTCAGGTTAGCTCGTTCGCTACGCTCACTTGCCTTCAGGTTAGCTCGTTCGCTACGCTCACTCACCTTTAGGTTGGAGCTCGTTCGCTGCGCTCACTTGCCTTCAGGTTAGCTCGTTCGCTACGCTCACTCACTTTTAAGTTGGAGCTCGTTCGCTACGCTCACTCACTTTTAGGTTGGAGCTCGTTCGCTACGCTCACTTGCCTTCAGGTTAGCTCGTTCGCTACGCTCACTCACCTTTTGGTTGCAAATTAGCTATTGTCATAAGTTTAACAATTTTAATGGGGATGAAAGAGAGGGGGTTGGAATGGGATTGGAATACGTTAAAAAAAAACGTTAAAAATACCTTTTTGAATGAAAACCCGCCATTTTAAATTTTTTAGTACGTTGAAATTATAGAAGGTCACTCAAGGAACTTTCTTTTTAACGTTAAGACCATAAAAAGTACAAATATATGTACAAAAAGTCGTTTTATTAATTAAAAACACCAAAAATTTCAAGGATTTTCACAATTTTTGGAAGTAGAGCGTTTTTTGAAGGTGTAGGTGTAAGATTTTCGATATGACTTATTCTTCGAGAAAACTGTCTTGTAGAAAATTTAATTCTGAACCTACGATTTTCCCTCAAATCGTTTCTAGCTCTAACCGTATTCGAGCTACAGCAGTTTAAAAAAAAAACGTGTTTTTCCCCAAAAAACTAGGGTTTTACGGAATTACTTTTGGCGGGTTTCAGTTGGAAAAACCAAATTTTGGGATCTTCTGGGTGGTTTGGTACCCAGACAAACCTTTACACAAAATCTCAGCTCCGTAGCTACTCTAGAAGTGACAAAAATGCTTTTTCTGTCGCCAAACGCCCATATTTCACCTACTCACGTTTACTTCTAGTTTGCTTGTCGTTACATGTTAATTTTCCATAAGAAATACGTTAAAAAAAGAACTTTATAATCGAAAATCAGCCATTTTGAATTTTTTTTAGTAGGTTTAAGTTATAGAAGGTCACTCTAGGGACTTTCCTTTCAACGTTGGGAGCATAAAAAGTATAAATATATGTGCGAAAAGTCGTTTTAAAAATTAAAAACGCTTAAAAAAATAAAGAATTTTTACAATTTTTGGAAGTAGAGCGTTTTTTGAAGGTAAAGGAGTGCGATTTTCGAAAAACGCTTAGTAGTGTCTTGTAGAAAATTTAATTCCAAACTCACGATTTTTCCTCAAATCGAATCTAGCTCTTACCGTTTTCGGGCTACAGCTGTTTTAAAAAAATGTGTTTTTCCAAAAAATAGTCGTTTTTAATGGAATTTTTTTGGGGGGGTTGTAATTTGAAAATGTAACTTTTTGGGATTTTCCTGGCGGTCTGGGACCTAGACGGACCTCCACAAAAAATTTCAGCTTCCTAGCTATTCTAGAAGTGCCCAAAGAATCAGTCAGTCAGTCAGTTACACAAGCGGCTGTATATAATATAGACTCCATGAAATTCTACACGTATGTACCAAGTTTCGTGGCAATCGGTTCAGCGGTGTCTGAGTTTATCACTGCCAAACAAACAAATATATATATATATATATATATATATATATATATATATATATATATACATACAAACATCCTCTTTTATACTTATACATAAATACTTTATAAATGGTACTTATTTTTTAAGCTAACAAATAATTTAGTTGATTAAAAAATCTGGATTTTACTAAATAGTGGTTAGGAGTGTTAAGCGAGCAAGTTCATTGCATCGCGTAGAGATTGTTCAGGTAATTGGGTAATGTTTTACTGTTACAGTTGTTGTTCTGATGACGCAACTAGCTTGTTTAGCGCAACAGAGGTAAATTGGGTTTTACCGTTTATTACCTTAATACTTTGACATTTAGATATATGTATGGTATGTGTTGTGTTTTAGTTTTAATTATTTCCTTCCTTTCCTAATATTTCCCTTTAAATTGCTTTATATATTTATCGTTACTTAATCTCATTTTTTTATTGGAATATAAAATGTGACATTTCTAAAAAATGTACTAAATTTGAAATATTACCATTACCAATGAATGATAACTGTTGATGTAAAAGACACAACAATAAAAAAAAAAAAAAAAAAACACCGCATATCCTTAAACTTCAGAATTATTTGGACATACAATATTATAAAGAGTATGAGTAGTATTTTCTTTTTGTCTTATGATCAGTTTATTGAAGCATAACAATAGAATTTGAAACCAAAAAATTTGAACTCCCAAACCATTTTAATGTTTTTTAGCAGACCAAAATCAGCTTTATTCTCTATTTGCTTCAAAACTGCTTTGTGACTTAAAAGTCAAATTGGTGTTTGCAACTAAAACTCAATCTGTCTCTATTTAAAAGTCAACTACACTACAAGATCGTGTCAAAACTTTCAAAGTGTGATGAACTGAAAAGCATTAGTTTCGTTCTTTGTACTTAAATTCATAATGATTCAAATCATCTTCGCTTCTAATGAAAAACAACTTCCTAATATCAAATCATCTTTAAATTGCTTAATTAATTTTGCATTGTTTTTCAGCAGATAATAACCTTGTTTTGATCGAACATCAAATAAATTGTTTGATGAAACGTAAGCTTTTAAGGAGAAGGAAATGATATGAAATATTTAAAATATAATAAAGTAATCAAGAGGTTCATGGTATGTAAATGATATAAAAATATTGTGTTACTAATTCATAGAATACTTTTCTGGGTTGAGATTATAAAGAAAAACCCGTATGCATTGTTTGTGTACACAAATATATATATATATCTATCCATCCATCCATCCATATATATTTTAATGTTTTTAGAATGTAACTTTATTCTTAGTAATTTTTTTACATATATTCAAGAAATCCTTTTATGTTGAGGAAACGCGCTTACTTGAAGTCTTGAGAGGCGTAGCAGTGACCGGACATTGAGCATCCCACCACGCTGCAAGCATGTCTCGGCTCTTGGGTGACCTCGTAGGTGATGTTGAACCCGTAGACATCCAGAAGGTCGTCCAGGACACGGAGATGGTTGCCCTCCAGTCTGTCCAGAGTGAAGTCTACTACCAGGTAGTTCCTTCGGGTCAGTAGCCACTCCACGCGGGTCACATTCTGCTCAGTCACCCTGTGAAGTGAAGATTGTTTAGTACAGAGAAGTGGACTGAGGAACATCTGATGCAATTAGCAATAAGGCAAAGTACAATTGTTTGTAGTATATATTGTTAGCATAAATTTCTCTTAAGCTTGACACAGTACGAATACATTGTATCTGAGTCGTGTTTCCCATCTGAATATTATTTTTATTGTATTTCTTAGTGGATGGTCCAGTATACGGAGAATATTTGGTTAATTTAAAGTTCTCTTTGATTTAGAGACTTGTTCTATTGTTTTCCTTTTAGGCGGTCGAGTTAAAAAAACATAGGGTTAAGGCATTGCTTAACATTGCACTTATAACATTGTAACATTGGAACATTTTATGTTGGTAGGATTTAAAACAAATGGCCCACGCTGTAGCTAGATCAGTCATGTTTTAATTACAAAAATCAGAAGCTCGCTTATGAATATTATTAGGATGCCGGTACATGGTATATATTCTACCAAACACATTAATGACCATGTCCACTAAGTAAGTACGCACTAATGCACCTTCATATAATTTTATAAAAGTGGTTTTATTATAAAATACCAATAACGTGTTTTCCTGGAGATATAACAAACAGAGCTTTGATTTGTGTATTTACTGACGCAACAACGAAGTTGAATATACAATTGCCAATTGGAGTAGGTGGGGGTTAAGGCTTGCTGTTTTTGGGTAAACTAACTCCTACAATCAAATAATGTCCCCTTAATCCTCACAAGGTAAGGTAAATTAATTCAATATTGGACGGTTGTTTTCCAAGAAGTATAATTTTTAAATTGTTTCCCCCCCTCTTAATCTTCAATTGACACTGTTTTTTGAAGAGATAGAAAGGTGACTACGTAGTAACATGGATGAGCCTTAGTATATTTAACATTTTCATCTACGTAGGTAAATACTATCTGGATCCAGAAAATTCTTTTATTTAGCTAATTATTTAAGTATTTATTATTAATAGTATTTTAGTAAATTATTAAAGTAGTACGTGTTATAGGCATGCTTCTTGTGATAAAAAATCTCTCTCTCTATATGTATATTATTTTCTCTAAACATATTTTTTTATAAGAATATGCCTATTAATTGATTTCTTAATAAAAATATATATATATATATATATTTCTACTGACTTTGTTATATGCATCAAAATGCATCAAGATAAAAATCATCATAAAAAAAAAACTATTAGATTTGGATTAAAATTTAAATACAGGGGTTTCATAAAATAATGGTGGGGTTTTAACTGTCTGTAAAACTTAAAAGAAAATTAAATATTTCATTTTGATACCTCTGTATCCTCAAACAGTATTGTTTACGTAAATTGAAACTGCTGTATTGATTGTAGTGCTAATCGACAACCTACTTATTATTTAAAATAGATTTTAAGTTGTACTTTCTTATAAACATGTTTTTCGTCAACAAAAAGCTAAGTGTGTAACTAAGGGAACTTAAGTCAGTGGCTCTAGTATAACGGCCATTAAGGATGTCAAAACATAGTTTATTCTAAAAAAATCTCAAAATTTAGCCCATCTTTTGGAAGCACCAGAGATGCAGTCTCCTTTGTAACGAGATAAATGTTGCATGTGTGGGCTGAAATAGATCATTGTCTGGACGTATATAGAGCTAGAAATGGTTGTAATATTGAAGTTTATTAGCTATGTATAAAATCTTTTTGATAACAGGAATTCAACAAAATAAATATTTTTTTTTATCTGTTTTATGAAAACCCTGTAATTAAGTTTGTATCCACATGTAATGTTTTTTTATACATGATGATTTTTATCTTGATGCATTTTGAAGTATAATAATTGTCCAACTATTTACCTATGAATTTCCTTTCCGCCCAGCTGGAAAGTAGAGTCGTGCTCGTAGTAATCAAACTCTGTAAAGGACAGACCTGTAGTGACGAACAGCTGGGTGAAGTATACGACTATGGAAGCACTCGCCTGAGTGTCACTAGCCTGACTGGCGTCTATCACCCAGTGACAGCGAAGTGGCGTCTGGAATTTGCGAGGGAAATTGGGTGTATGTAGAACTCCTCGTGCTGCCGTCAGCATCCCTCCACACTCTTGTTTGTCTTGCGCTGGATAAACAGTCTCAATTTAGATTTAAATTCTTATTAAAATTTTGTTAAAATGCGATAAATATCATACAATTGTTATAGAAAAATATTAATAAACTTAATCAATAACGGTTATACGTCTTGTGTTTTAATCAATATGCTGTAAATTATACTATGGAGACTACCCCAGTTCTATTTCTCTTTAAAACGAAACTATGTTAATTTAATATTGTGTAAATCTAACTATTGAGACCGGTTGCACGGACATAAATGAATGTTCGTTACTTTTATGTTGTGCTTTATTTATGTTCTTTACGTGTATGTGACATATATCGAATAGCATTAACGGTTTATTAAACTATTGCTACCAGATTTTAGTGAAGAAATATACTGGAATTGTTGATTTTTTAACAAGATTAAAAACAACCATTCTTATTGAAACAAAATATTAGTGCTTTGAACGCAAAATAGTATACATTATCTAAAATATTTTATTAACACTCTTTTTGATGAAAACACACCCACATGCAAACAAATTTTGGAACATGGTGACATCAATGTGCTTACTGTTTTACCACGTTAGTATGCCATTTATTTATATTGATTTCATAACTTTCCCTCTCTTACTGATTGCGCTAATGAAAAAAATGTTAGTCATTGGACAATCTGTTGCAGCCTTCTAATATACCCGACTGTTTTGACCTATCTTTAATATTGGAAGCATGACAAGAAGCGTGTAAAATAGATACAAGGACTAAGACAAGATAGTATGAATTGTCAATTTTTAATACACTTATATCAACCACGCAATGTGAGTATGTACTAACCTTGTCCACGACCTTGACCTAGTGACATGACCCACGCCAGCAGCACCACTAGCACTATCATAGTCACCTGTAGGTAGTGAGTTGCACCATCTCACCACGAGTCTCTCTACCCCATGCTCACAACCCTACAACAGGCTCATCATGATGGGGATAGGAGCCTGAAACATTATGTCATACGTATAAAAGGTTACTTGTGTAATATTTATATATGTATTGAGCAAAATATGTAATTAGATTCCTCAAGTGGAAGAACTACGAGTGACCTTGAGAAATAGCATTATAGTATAAAATAGAGTAATTTATAGCTTTTGCGGAAAATAAATACAAACTTTAAGACTAATTCACTTGTACTAAAACAACAGTAAAGACAAAGTCAAAAAGACAGACATGCGTGTGAGGAAATTCGTTCCTTGTGGTAAGGTCAAATTAGTCAACTAATCTATATATATAATTCCGTAAGTCAAATTTTTGTAAAGAAATTGTGAGTGACTGGATGGCCATAGAAGGATGGGAGGGGTCTTATTTTAAAGGTCTTGACGTGAATTTTGAGGGAAAACTATTCATTTTTCTAATTTTTTAACCATAAATTCGCAACAGAATAAAACTTTTCCCATTAAAACAACATGGGGTTTAATTTGTTTACATCTTTTGAAATTAAAACAGCTGTGCCACAGATTTTAAAACAGTGATCAATACACGCATTTGGTTTACTTTTAGCCAGTCAACTATGAAATGTATACTATAATAAAACTGAAATATTGAAGATTAGTCGGAAAAACGTCTGCAAGTTTCATTTTTTCATGCTTTTACGTTATTGTCGTGTTAAAGGAATAAACGACATAGAATAAATATTCTGTATAAATAATCAAAGAGTCGAAATTAAATCTAACTTCTGTTTTGTTTTTATTTTTAAATCATATGTTCAAGTTTATTTTAAATGATGTTGTTTTCTTTATATTTCAACACATTTTAAGGTTAAGGTTGTGTAAATATATACAACTAAAATAACCTATAAATGTTATTGGTTCTAAAATGGTGTATTTGCATTCCTTCGTAATAAAATTTTTTTATTGCAGTGAATATACAACGTAGAGTAATCATATTCGATCATACTTTTATAAAATCACCAGGGATTCAAGATGTTTTGGTATGTAGGCTGCTGGATATATATTCTTTTCATTATAAGTACTGTAATTAATATGAACGCCAGGGGAATACCACAAAGGCGGGGAACTGTTCATAGGAATGACAGTGCGCGTAGGAGAGCAAGAGTAGATAATGACTAACTTAATCAAGATATGTTACAACCCCTTTTTAGGAGACCCATGGTATACGAGAGAAATGTAAAGATCCATGATGCAGGATTATTGGACCAAGAGTGCATTCAATGTAGTGCTCTTCATTTTAGAGAAGAACTAACGAATAATCATTTTATGACATGTTGCCATAACGGACTTATTAACCTTCCTCGGTCAAAAACTAATGTAGAACTTAAAAGTTTGTTTGAAGAGAGCCCACAACTGTATAAATTCATTCGACAGTGCAACAGTGCGATGGCTTTTGCTTATTTTTCAGCCAGTTAGAAAGATATTCCAGGAAAAGGACCATAATGTTTCAAAATTCAAGGACAGATTTATCGTTCAATCTCAGATTTGCTGCGTCAACATGATGAAGACTCCGTGTATGGCCAATTGTACATTATTGACACATCAACAGCAACAGAAATTCGTCAAAGGCGTCGAGAAAATAGTGACTTAAAACCTGAAATATTGTCAAAACTAGCTGATATTCTATTAGAAAATCCATTTGCACAAATTTACAAAAGACCTTCGGAAGAAATGGTTGTACAAGGAGATAGTGAATTAGAACTTAGGTTTCTTCAATAAGGCGTCTTCAATTCATCTGAAGGCGAACCTCCAATGAATTTTTAAAATTCCAAACAGGGACGCTTTTATTTATCCTCATTAACCACAAGACCAAAGCTACCTTAGTAAACCAGTGTTTATTCACATACAATGATATGTTTGCTGCCTTTTCATGTTAAACCACTGGAGTGATTCAAATTATTTATTGAAAATGACATCAACAAAAGCAAACAAAGAAGAACAACAAACTGGTTTTTACACAAAATATATGGTGTAGGGATGCCTATTCTGACACATAGATAATGTTATTCTGAGTTTGTTTAAATACCGGTATTGCAAAAAGTTGTTTTACATTTGAGCTTTTTAGGGACTTATGTCCCTACAAGCCACTAGTTTTCTTGTAAACGGGTGAGGGTAGTTGTCAACTTTCCCCTTAAATATTCTAGGTTAAGCCACAAAAGTATGTGAGTAAATAGTTTATCATACAAAAAAACCATTAAAATCAGACAATTATTTTCGGGATAAATCCAATTTACAAAATTGTATTTGAGTAGTAGACCCTTATTCTGCGGCTTCATTATAAACGCGTACAGGCAATGAAGTAATGAAGATAGACAAATTAAGAGACGCAATGACCGGATGTAGGACCGGCGCAGCGGGGCGATCAGAAAACGTCGTAATGTTACAACCACAGTGCGTTATCATCGGCGCTGCGCCTCCCGCCAAGACAGAGATTCACTTAGGAAGCAAATGAATTAAGTCATTCAGGGAATAGGCATTCTACTCTATTAACAAGACAACGACAAACGATATAAATACAATATTTAGCTAACATTTATTTCTAACACTGAATTTAAAATTTTGAATGTTTGAAAATATTATTTGTATTGAGATACCGTAATATTGATTTATTTTATTGTATCATGTTTTTGACCTCTGGAGACATGAAATTGAAAAAGTAAATCGGTCTCGGGTCTAGGTCTTGCCATGCCACCTAAGTTAATAGCCAATTCCCTATAGGGAAATTAGCTAAAACATCACTTGTTTTACTGTTGTGAACGTTTGAGAAAAAAATGCTATATTAATAATTTTGAAGATATAAGTAAATAACTAATCTTTCATCTAGGATGCAATCATGTACTCGAAACACAATAAAGCTTATATTTACAACCACTAGATTACATTGTCAAATAGGGACCAGATTGATCTACATTACTGTAAACGGGTAGAAATACGGAATTCAATCAACTACCTCAGAAATCTTTCGTTATCCAACGGCCGGAACTTGTTTAAATATAGACCAAGTTAAAGCCTAAAGAGAGAATTGGAACGGATGGTTGACAGTGATTGAAGCACGACATACGTTCTTTGGAGCTCAGACACAGGCTGGCTTGATAGATCTTGCAACATATTAGATAAGTTACGTCCTAATTTGTCCTACTGAGCTTATACAAGTTGTAAATCTTGGATAATTTATTTTCAACCGGAGGTTTAAATTGCATATATTTATGCAAGTTAATATAACCAAATAAGCATCCTTGTAACATTACAGTTATGCGGAAATGAAAATATAAGAGATTAAACGTCATACCAGAAAGTATATATCTATGTTAAGATACTTTTGTAGTATTGGTTCATAGGGTTACTGTAAGCTATTACAATTATCTTACAATAACTTAAATTAACTATAATAGCATATTATTTAACATAGTAGTAAAGCTCCTCGCCTTTGAAAAGAATGAAATGAAATTATACTACACTTTTTTACATAATACATGTATTTAGCATTATTGCGTTACTATGGCTCATTTACCATAATATTATTTTAAAGTTGTTTTTGACAGTCTTGCAACAAAAATGCAAGGTTGATTGCTGTTTTACAATGTGATTACACCGTCAACTGGTCCAGTTGAACAGTGTAATATTCACTGGAGAGCTAAATGGTGATAGAGGTGTAATTTGGCCAGAAGCCAATATCAAATATCAAACAGTTCGCTTGTCATACAGGTTGACAGTTTAGGGAATAAGTTTCCATGTGAGCGTTTCGGGACGGGAATCCTGCTGTGTATTTTAGAGGGAAAATATCATACCTATTTCAGCTTCGTAAGAATATACTAACAAATATTTTTTTAGGGCATAATCTAACCATACGTACCCTATAAAGAGTTGGTAAGATGGTTACTAATTACATTATTAGAGGGTGTTTAAAATATTCTAATGCTCTTAACAGTATAAGTAAAAACGTACGATACGCCATTTACAAACTTTACATTAACGAGGGTTGTCCGCTACAATAAGGTGACCTTCTTGCTTTCATCACAGCCAAGCAAGTGGATCAAATCTGAGGCTATTGTCGTGTTATTTACTTCATCCACTACCAGTCTAGCAAGGTCCAAAGTCTATTAGTGTTTTCACAATAATTGGAATGATTTTAAAATATATTGAGGCTCCCGCCATGTAAGTATCTCATTGTGATTTTCTATTTATTAAATATTGTGTATGTAGAAATTTGTCACGAGCAATAAAATTTTGCCAAAGGTGCATTTTGGTGTTCAGTAGTTTTCAACGAGCCCACGAGATGTTTATTTGATTAATTGAATAATTTAAGCCAACCTGGTTTAGTATTATTATAAATAGTCTTATAGGGTCGTCCTATATCAGTACAGAAATTCTTCTTTTTTCGTAATACCCCAATCTGCAAGCAAAATGTATATAACAGTGGTCCATTTTGTCAAAAGAGACTGATGAACGGACTGAAGTTAGCCAACACCATTCAAAACATCGTGCAAATGGTTAAGTCCATCTCTAAGCTCCGTCTACCACTTACGGACATCTTTTAGGCCTAAACTACCTATATTCACGTGCGTCAAGTGGTGATATGCTTCAATTATTTGTGGATGCCGTCTGAGACAATGGAAACGGAATTAGAGAATGATTTTACGCTTTAAGAAAGCTAAAATTATTTTTTCAAAACTTGGTATTATAATAATCTGAACTAGCTTGGTTGTTGCGCCAGCTGATCGATGGACAACCATTGTATGGTAAAATTTAATTACGGGTTTTGATAAAAAATACATTAAACATTGACTTAATTGTTTAGTAACACTTAAAGTATCGTAATGGAGGGTAGTTATAAGAGAAATAAACATTTTCCTTAATATACTTCCTTAATAGTGAGGAGCCCATTTTCACTCTATACACAAACTTTGCTACTTAACACATTTTTTACTTTGTTAACGAGAGTTGAAATAGAATATTTTGAAATTGGTTCCAGTTAC